GTAGGCCATGGCCATTTTAGATAAGCCATGATCACCTTTGGCCCCAGCCAGCTCTGCAATCAACAACTCCCCATGCACCCTGTGACTTTGGGTGGGGGGCCCATGGAACCCAGCTCACTTTGGAGAGGTGGGGAGACCCCTGTCTCAGCTCCCCATATCCCTATTATGTGTAAGTCACCCTGTGCCTGTTAGGGGTGCAGGGTGATCTGTCCTAATATTGAGGTGGGGGGTTGTTGATTTTTTAATGCCATGTGGCTGCATCCCATTGTTCTATTGTGTGTCTTGCTTGGAAGCAAACTATTATGGGATGTATGTGTTTATGTGTATTAGCTTAGTGGGGGGGTGTCTCCAGCAGCCCTCCCTCCTGATGGGACTGTCTGTTGGTGTGAAGTTTGAATACCTGTGTGTCTCTTGTCACTAAATGTAGATTGCCCCGCCCTGTGTCATTATGCAGGGAGGGGGGATTGTTCCCTTGGGTGTATAAAAAACCAGTTCGAGTTTCAAATAGAGAGTTCCATGTTCAGACAGACTGGTCTCGTCTAGTCTTGTTTGGTCGGCTGTGGTGTCTGTGGTCGGTGTTCGGACGGGAAAGCGGTATAACGGAAGTGCCCAAGCGCAGACTGGGTTGGTTCCGTTACACCCCCCATCCCCCCCGTTCATTTTTAAAGAGCCAAAAAAATTGTAACCCTGGAGTAAAAACATGAATATTGGCCTACCAGCATTTCACATAGAGGACAGCAATAGCGTACAAAAAAAACCCTCAGTACATTTTTCTTTTTTTTTTTTACGTGGGGTGCTGATTGCTGTAAGCAGAGTCCTTGGTTTCCAGGGACAACTTAGTTGTTATCTGTCCCTGACAGTGTCCTTGTGCTTTTCTCTCTAAGCAAATATGTAAACCGTATCATGTAGTCTATGAAAGTTAATAATGACAAGCAATAGACCTGAAAATGTTAAAGCTGAACTCTAGGCAGATATAAAAGACACTAATGAATGCAGCTCTGTCATCACAAATGTAAAATTAAATTTTTTTTTTAAATACAGTGTAAGGCTCCATGCACTTTTTAAGCTCCTAGAAGCGGTTATCAGCTTTTTTTGTCTGCTCCTAGAAGCTCCTTTTTCAAGCTTCAGTGTTTATGAGCAGAAAAAAAAAAAATTGCTGCATGCTCTTAAATGCTACTAAAACGCCCCTAAAACAGCTTTTTTTCCCACATGTACTGCAAAAATGCATAGACCGCTAACACTCCGAAACACTTCTAAATGCTACTACAAGTCAGCTACCACTTCACAGGTCCCAGGAGACATCTAGGCCAGCACAAGGCGCTGTGTGACTCGTGCATGCACAGTAGGAATCCGGTTTCCATTACTTGCAATGCCGGCACCGGGAACCGGTCAAGAACTAGTCTGGGTAACGATTGCGCTGGACCCTTAGACAGGTAAGTGTGCTTAGGCAGCTGCAGTATTTGTAGCGGATGACTTTTACATTTTTCGGGGAGCCTGGAGTTTCCCTTGCCCTTCTGAGGATCCCCCCCCCCTTTCCTGACCAGGCCATATTTTGCGTCACAGCGCTGCATTAGTTTAAATTGCGCGGTCATGCAACGCTGCACCCAAATTAAATTTACGTCCTTTTTTTCCCCACAAATAGAGCTTTCTTTCGGTGGTATTTGATCATTTCTGTGTTTTTTTATTTTTTGCTCTATAAAAAACAAAAGACTGACAATTTTGAAAAGAAAAAAACAATATTTTTAACTTTTTGCTATTAAACATGTCCAGTAAAAAAAATTTAAAAAAGCAAATTTCGTCGTAAATTTAGGCCAAACTCTATTTTGCTCCATGTCTTTGCTAGAAAAAAATCCCAGTACATGTGAATTAATTGGTTTTACATGAAAGTTATAGCATTTACAAATGGCAGTATAGATACTACGATTTTTTTTTTAAATTATTTTTTTACTAGTAATGGTAATCAACGAATTATAAAGGAACTGCGGGACTGCGGCGGGCATTCTGACACTGAGGGGAACTGATTTGGTATCACTGACATCCCCAGTGACACCAATACAGTGATCAGTGCTAATAAAAAGCGCTAACACTGTACTAATGGCACTGAGCAGGAAGGGGTTAACATGTGAGGCGATCAAAGGGTTAACTGTGTGCTGTTTCCCAGTATGCTGTGTGTGTGCTTTACACTGTGAGCACACTGCTTTGTATGGCATTGCTATGCAGAGTCATACAAAGCAGTGTGCAGGAGCTGACGGGAGAGAACTGTATTGTTTACATACAAATCTCTCCCTCCGTCGGTAATGCTCCTCGATCACCGGGCTCTGGCAAGTAATCACCAGCCGGGACCCAGTGATTGACAACCGAGGCCGTGAATAGCGGTGCGGGTAGTGCTCAACCCCAGTACATAAACTTCAGACCTCAGATCAACCCTAAGACCTGTACCTTGGAACGTGTGGTAGTGCGGTAGACCTGTGGGCAGGATTCTTCTGCACAGCGCACCCATGTTCTGAGCAGGCTTACAGTGGACCAGGCTTTTTAATTGACAGCCTAGTGACCTCAGATCGATCAGACCCAATGTATACTGCTCAAAAAAATTTAGGGAACACACTTTAATCAGAGAATAGCATCAAGTCAATGAAACTTCTGGGATATTGATCTGGTCAGTGAAATAGCAGAGGGGGTTGTTAATCAGTCTCAGCTGCTTTGGTGTTAATTACATTATCAACAGGTGCACTAGATGGGCAACAATAAGAAGACCCCCAAAACAGGAATGGTTTTACAGGTGGAGGCCACTGACAGTTTTTTTCCCTACTCATCTTTTCTGACTGTTTTTCACTAGTTTTGCATTTAGCTGGGATCAGTGTCACTACTGGTAGCATGAGGTGATACCTGGACCCTACAGAGGTTGCACGGGCAGTCCAACTCCTCCAGGATGGCACATCAATACGTGACATTGCCAGAAGGTTTGCTGTGTCTCCCAGCACAGTCTCAAGAGCATGGAAGACAGCCAGTTACTCTGGGAGAGCTGGACAGGGTCAAAGAAGGTCCTTAGCACATCAGCAGGACCGCTATCTGCTCCTTTGTGCAAGGAGGAACAGGATGACCACTGTCAGTGCCCTACAAAATGACCTCCAGTAGGCCAATGGTGTGAATGTCTCTGACCAAACAATCAGAAACAGACTTCTTGAGGGTGGCCTGAGGGCCCAACATCCTCTAGTGAGCCCTGCACTCATTGCCTGGAACCATAGAGCTTGATTGGCATTTACCATTGAACACCAGAATTGGCAGGTCCGCCACTGGCACCCCCGTGCTTTTCACAGATGAGAGCAGGTTCACCCTGAGCATGTGTGACATGTAACATCGTTCAGTATGACTGTTTTGGTGGTGGGTCAGTGATGGTCTGGGGAGGCATATCCATGGAGGGACGCACAGACCTCTACAGACTAGACAATGGCACCCTGAGTGCCATTAGGTATCGGGATGAAATTCTTGGACCCATTGTTAGACCCTACACTGGTGCAGTGGGTCCTGGGTTCCTCCTGGTGCACGACAATGCCCGGCCTCATATGGCAAGAGTATGCAGGGAGTTCCTGGAGGATGAAGGAATTGATACCATTGAATGGCCCCAACACTCGCCTGACCTAAATCCAATAGAACACCTCTGGGATATCATGTTTCGGTCCATCTGACGCCTCCAGGTTGCACCTCAGACTGTCCAGGAGCTCAGTGATGCTCTGGTCCAGATCTGGGAGGAAATACCCCAGGACACCATCCGTCGTCTTATTAGGAACATGCCCCAACATTGTCAGGCATGCATACAAGCAAGTGGGGGCCATACAAACTACTAAGGACCATTCTGAGTTGCTGCAATGACATTTCAGCAAAATGGACTAATCTGCTGCATCATTTTTTCACTTTGATTTTCGGGGGTCTTTGAATTTAGTCCTCTGTAGGTTGATCATTTTCATTTGCACCAAAGATGGAGCATCCTTATATTCCTAACACATTACCCAGTCCATATCAGTATAGAGATCCAGCAGGAGATTTTTCCCCATTGAGATCTGATGGGTTTTCATAGTGTTCCTCTAATATTTTTCAAGCAGTGTGTGTATTTCAGATCAGCCCCAGTGCATGCAATTCAGACCTCAGATGAGCCTCAAGGCATACATTTCAGACTTCAGATCAGACATAATGCAAGTACTTTAGACCTCAGATTGGCTCCAAACTATGTACCTTAAGGAATGCATGAGGTCAACATGCAGGTAGGCTTCCTATCCATAGCATGTCATCATCCTCAGCCACCAGTGTGCTTTCAGTGATGTCAGGCAGGTGAGTGATCTATTCTTTATAATTGACAGACTAGTGATCTGTCAATTCCACCCAATAGCAATAGGCACCAGCAGAAACAATATCTTGTTCCCACCTGGGCAGGCGTGCTGGGAGTTGCTGATTCCTGCTGTAGCATTTATCCATTTGAAGACCCAATAACATGCAAATATGTTTCAAGTGGTTATACCAGTATCATTATTTTTTTTTTTTGGCCGGCGGCGGGTGCCTCTTCAGGAACTCCGTCCATCCGAAGATCCCTGAACTAAAGCCAGCAGTTCTGCCATCTTATTACAGGGCTAAAGCAGAACCGAAAGGTCTCTGATGACCTCCATGACACAAGAAACTGGAAGCAACGAGTTCTATTGTCATTTCTAGTTTTCCAGACATAAGCAGAGCCATTTTTAACCACCTCCCGCCCGCCATATAGTCCAATGACAGACGCAAGACAGTTCTCTCGTTCTGGTAGGGCATCATATGACGTCCTCCCATTCTCACCACGCATGAGCAGCTTCGGGAGTACGCAGCGCGGCGATCGGTGGTGCGCTGTGTCCCTCGGACACAGCGGATCACTGATCACGGAAAGAGCCGAAGATGTTGGCTCAGTCATGTGATCAGCTGTGTCCAATCACAGCTGATCGCATGTAAACAGGGAAATGCCGGTTATCGGCATTTCTCTCCTCATGAGCTGTCATGCTGACAGAGGAGAGGAGAGCCGGTAATTGGCATTCCTCGGAAGGGACATGTGCACTGATCATCAGGGTACTGATGATCAGTGTGCCCTGATGATCAGTGTAGCCCCAGCAGTGCCGCCTGTGAGTGTCCATCAGTGCCAGCTCTCAGTGCTCATCCATGCAACCTGCCAGTGCCCATCAGTGCACATCAATGCCTACCAGTGCACATCAATGCCACATATCAGTGCCCAACTGAGCTGCCTTTCAGTGTCACCCATCAGTGCCAGTCAGCGCCACCTATCAATGCCAATCAGTGCCACCTATCAGTGGTGCCAATCAGTGCCACCTATCAGTGCCAGTCAGTACCGCCTATCAGTGTGCATCAGTGCCACCTATCAGTGCCCGTCAGTGCTGCCTATCAGTGCCGCCTATCAGTGCTGCCTTTCAGTGCCCATCAGTGATGCCTGTCAATATCCATCAGTGCCACCTACCAGTGCCTCCTCATCAGTGCCCATCAGTGTCACCAATCAGTGTCCATCAGTGCAGCCTATCAGTGCCCATCACTGCAGCCTCGTTAGCGCACATCAGTGAAGGAGAAAAATCACTTATTTACAACATTTTATAACAAAAACTAAGAAAAAACATTTTTTTTTTTCAAAATTTTCAGTGGTTTTTGATTTGTTTAAGAAAAAATAAAAAACCCAGAGGTTATTAAATTCCACCAAAATAAAGCTCTATCTGTCACAAAAAACATGATAGAAATTTCATATGGGTACAGTGTTGCATGACCCGCAATTGTCATTCAAAGCGTGACAACGCTGAAAGCTGGAAATTGGCCTGGGCAGGAAAGGGGTATAAGTGCCCTGTAGGCTAGTGGTTAAAATGGGAAAGCATCTAATGACACCGATCTTGGTGTGATCAGATGTTTTTAGGGCGCGGAGGAGAGGTCTGGGGTCTAATAGACCCCAGATCTCTCCATAAAGAGTACCTGTCACTGCCTATTGCTGCCACAAGAGATATTTACATTCCTTGTGACAGCAATAAAAGTGATCAAGAAACAAAATTTAAATGAACAGTGCAAAAAAATTTATACGCATGCTTGCGTGGAAAGGCGAACACGTGCATCGGTCCTGCACGTATACATAAATGGCGATTGCACCACACATTTATTTCAGGTACCTATATAGCGCCATCAATTTATGTAACGCTTTACATATATATTGTTCATTCACATCAGTCCCTAACCCTCAAGGGGTCTACACATGTGAGGTACTGCTGTGAGCATCAGAGCGGGAGCAATATTTCTAGTGCCAGACCTCCTGTGTAACTCTCAGCTGGTAACCTGTAAAGGCTGATAAAGTGTTTGAAAAGTGAAAGCTTGTGAGCCGCTATGTGAGTAATAAAACCTACTTAAGTGCTACTTGTGAATTGCCTGCACCTAACACATACTCATACTAGTGTGCTAAATCAATGTGCCACAATGTGCCACGCTTCACTTGAAATGATACATCCAGTTGCTATTACTTATATTGCATACCACCATAAATAAACAATTATATGAAAAATATGAAAAGATGAATAAAGATGAATAAAAATAATAAACCAGTGACAATTTCCAATAACTGTGTCCATATAATTATCAACAAATGTCCATATATAAGATTTCTTCAGACTTGCATAGTTCATTTTAAAATATAATAACTCAAATCATATATAATGAATCAAATCATAGTGTATTATCCTTTAAAAACCATTTTATTAATAAAAGTAATGCACTCACATATACTCTGTATATAAAAGCGCTTTGTTCACAAAATGTGTCCTCCACATCTTTTCTTATGGTGAAAAACCTAAAATTGCCAGCTGGTGTCAGTATGGAAATTTCCCCCTGATGAAGCTATGTGACCGTTGGCATAACGCGTAGGGGAGGGGTTCTGACGTCATGACGCTTGACGATGGTTCCATACTGTCTGCCTCTGCTAAAAAATTTATTTATAATTTCTGGGGGATCTAAGTAATTTTCTAGCGCAAAATACAGATTTTTTTTTTAAAGTGTCAGAAAAGGCTGGGTCTTCAAGTGGATATTCACATGGACATTTCTCTAATGTGCATTAATTAAAGGGCTCGTTCGCACTGGAACGCAGTGCGGGAACCCTTATTCCGTGCACACTTCCCACACTGCGTTTAAAACGCACTGAGTGTGTGATCTGCTGTGGGTATGTCTAAAAGTAATGCAGCATTATGCATTACTTTTGGATGCACTGGTGGGTATCGGGACCATTTTTTTTTGACAGTTCATGCTGATTGGGGCTTTAAGGAGAGTTAATGCTCCCCCTTTTTGTTACATTTTTTTCCATTTGTTGGACCTTCTCTGTCTGGCCAGAGCAAGCTCACCAGGACATACCCCTAATGCAGGCCATACATGTTTCGAATTCCGAATGACTTACTGTCCGAAAATCGAAAATGTTCTCTCGGTAATCTGATGGTGCCATCAATGATTTCGAAAACCAGCCGACCAAGTCATAAAGTTCACCCCATATAACAGGAAAAACTTCTGTTTCTTCCAGGACGCGGCATGCGCATATTCTTTTCGGAAAAACGATCGTACGATTTGACCATGGAGTCGAAAATCGGTCGTTTGTCACAAATTTTCCAACATGCCCGATCACCGAAAAGAGGAGGAACCATGAAAATCAGCCGGTGCCATTGACCCACTAACAGAGCGAAAACCGGCTGATTGCGGACAAAAAAATCAGTCGAAGTTCAACTCATGTATGGCCGGCCTAATGCAGGCCATAGACGGGTCAAAAACCGGCTGTTTAAAAAAAAAAAAAAAAAAAAGAAAAATCGGCCCGTTCAATTGTCCGATTTGCGTCCCGTCTACAGCCGGCATTTACTTACTTCTGTCCCTGCAGAGAGCTCCGCTATTATATTTGACATGAAAAAGTATTGTGGTTACAACAATGTATCTATTTGTATCCATTTTGGATGGTTTTATTTGGATACAAATAGATACATTGTTGCAACCACAATACTTTTTCATGTCAAATATAATAGCGGACTCGAATTCTTGTTCTTCTTTTCTTCTTTTTCTTCCTCTTCTTTTTCTCCCTCTTCTTCTTCTTTTTCTTCTTCTTTTTCTTCTCTTCTTTTTTTTCTTCTTGCAGGTCATGGCTCATGCACAGATTTTTTTACTGTTTTTTTTTTTTGCCCATCATTGTTGGGAAAATCAACCAATCGGCAAAATCGGCCGATTTTTTTCCAACTTCACCGATAAAAAAAAATGTGCCAAAACCCAGAAAAACGGCCGACCAATTAACCCACTAACGGTGCGAAAATCGGCCTATTTTTTTTCGCCCCGAAAAAATCGGCTGATTTTCGACCAATCTATGTCCTGCATAAGACTTTATTTTAGATACAATAGATTTGGAACAACATTTGAGGTTCTGTTCCCTGTCTAAATTTGCCATTGTTGGTATTCTCCTTGATACGGCCATATTGACATCGTTTGTACCTAATCCAGTTTACATCATGGGGCTGACATCCGTAAATTCACTAATTTCAGTCAATTATTATTGATCATTATTGATTAGACATATTGATTATTAATCCACCATTTCACCAAACCCCCTGAATGAGACTCATAGAGATAGAACGCATTGGGGTTCGTTCTCAGAAGTGTGCCATATATTGGTGCCAAAGTGGGAATTTGTTGGTGGTGCTGATATATGTGTAATTGATCCCTGCTATGAATTGTGTGACCTTATTGGTCTCTTGTAATCACTGGAGCTGAGCTGAGTATAGTTCTGCTTTAAGTTATACTTACTAGTCCCTACACTAGAAAGAAGGTTGCAAATATCACAAGACTTCAGCAAATCCAAAAACAAGTAAAAAAAAAAAAACAAAATAGAAAATAACAATGCAAAGTGAAATACCAACCAATCAGATTCATTATTTCAAGTGGTATTAAACCCCAAATTAAAAATGTAATATATTGCAGCTTGCCAAGCCTAATGCCGGCCATAGACGGGTCAAAAATCGGCCGGAAAAGAAATCGGCCGATTTTTGCACCGTTAGTGGTTAATTGGTCGGCCATTTTTCAGGGTTTTTGCACATTTTTTTTTTTACCGGGCATGTTGGAAAATTTGCGGACAATTTTGACGATTGGCCAATTTTCCCGGCAATGATGGGAAAATCAGCTGATCGTTTTACCGATAAAAAATCTGCACATGAGCTGTGACCTGCAAGAAGAAGAAAAAGAAGGAGAAGAAGAAGAAGAAGAATAAGAAGAATTCCAGTCCGCTATATTTTATATGAAAAAGTCTTGCGGTTGCAACAAATGTATCTATTTGTATCTGAATAAAAACATCTGTATCCGAAATGGATACAAATGGATACATTTGTTGCAACCGCAAGACTTTTTCATATAAAATATAATAGCGGACTGAACTTCTTCTTCTATCCTTTTTATTATTCTTATGTATTGCTCCCCTGTGTGCTACCCTGTCACTGCAAGGGTCAGAAGTAATTATGGGGTTAAATGCCGGCCATATATGGGATGAAAATTGGCCGATTTTTTTACCATTGGTGGTAAAGTCCGCCGATCGAATGACTGATTTTTCGTTTTTTAAAAAACGGCCAATTTTCGACCTGTCTATGGCCTGCATTAGATATGGCAGCTGTATTGGTTTTCTTTTTTTAGGCTTTTTGTCCTCTGTTTTCACCTGCTGATCTGGCCAGTAACACACCTCCTGGATGAAGGAGCACAGGGGGCACCTTTATAAAGCAGCAATGTCAGTCTGGGGGGAGGGAAGTGTTAGATGTACTAGCAGATTTACTATCACATTGAAACAGGGGCGGACTGACCATTTAGCCACTTGGGCATTGCCCAGGGTCAGTAGGGGGCCCCATGAGGTGCCCCTGGTAGCTTTCATAGGCTTTTTTGGGTGTGGTTTGAGTGTGGGCTAGGACACAGGGGCCCCATGATTTTCTGTTGCCCGAGGGCCCCATGAGTTGTCAGTCTGCCTCTGCATTGAAACCAAACTCCAGCTCACACTGCAGTCACAAGTAAAAAAAAAAAAAAGATAATAACCATAAAAGTGAAATACCAACCAATCAGATTCCTTATTTAAAGTGGTATTATACCCCAAATTAAAAATGCACCCCTGCCTGTGGTAAATGGTTTGCTCAACACTTTAAATTGATACATTTACAGGAGAGTTTGTTCTGTTGAAATCAACAGACTTACTGCCCAGATCACCCGGTGAAAATAAAGAAAAGAAAGCCTAAATAAGAAAACTAATGCAGCCACCACATCTAAGAATTGTTAAGCTGCAATACAA